TACCTCAACTGATGTGTGAATGTGTAAATGAATGTTTATATGTGGATAAAAGCCTAAATTCAATCTGTTCATCTGTCTGGAGAGTACAGAAAGCTTTTCATGTGTGATCCGAAGATTAACAAACTAAATGGTTTGGAATGACATGAGGGTGAGTAATTAATGACTCTTAATTTTTGGGTGAACTATACCTTTAAAAATCTTCCTGACCTCCAAATTTGGAGCTTAGTGTATATAACAAAAGTGGTGATTGACCATATGAAGGTTGCTTCCCATGTAGTGTCCCACATCCACCATCCACCGCTCCATCATGACTCATGAGCTTCTATTTAAGTGAGAAAGTAGACGGTGAGAAACACGGCAGCGCAATAGGGTTCACAACAGTTTTGTTTGACGGAGTGCAGCTTTAGAATCTCAGAGCAGAGATTGGAATATTTAGAATCTCAGAACAGATGTCATCACACACAGTCATTCTTCAGCGTGATTGGACATAGAACCTAAAAGTGGGCGTGTCCCAGTGATGCTCTCATGGACATCATCCGGTTCATCTCACTCTGTGTTCCTACAGGCCACTGGATGTTACAGTGGTGCTAGTGTGTTTCCTTTAGGGAGTCTAATACGTCAACGTAAGGCAGACAGACAGGCCATCAAGAGGCAAACTTCCTTTGAGAATAAATGACTGTGCTTGTTAATAGGTTTGTGGAAAACAATAGCTGAGGGCAGTAGGTTCCTAATACACACTTTCTATTGTGAAAATGCACTGAGGCAGGATGGAGCTAGTCAAGACTTCCAAACACTCACCAATTCTCGTAGGACTAGAATAGATTTGTTGTATAGTGGGACTAAATTTATGATTCATATATGGAAGGTATTCCGTTGTCGGCGGTTAAGTGGTTATTATTTAGTTAGTTTTTCAATGAAACGTATGAGAAACAAGTTCATAGTTCCCTGTAGTGTTGTTCAGACACATTTCTGTGAATACATTTATTTAACTGCATATTTCAGTTCTTTTAAAAGGACAGCGCAAATATGAACTGTCTGCCACGATTTACTCACCTTCATGTTGTTTCAAACTCTCTTTCTTCAGTGGAATGTAAAAGAAGATATTGTGAAAATGTCTCAGGATACTTTATTTTTTTTGTCCTTAAAAAAAATTCAGTGGGGTCCAATGTTATTTTAGACCCATTTAATATCCAAATTATCTTACTTTCTTGCATTCCACCGATAAAAGAAAGTGTTTGGTTTTGGAACAACAAGAGGTGAGTTTATGGAGCAGAGATGGTCAATAAGCTGAAATCTTCAGCGAACAACATGTTGTTTACAGATGGTTGTTAAAATGATTCAATGATGAAAACGATGAGTGACTAGTCGACTGTCACAACCACTAGTTGGCGCTGTTGGCCTTAGCCGACTAGTCGGAAACAAAATGATGACATATATATAGATATTTTTTTTGTTAACTATCCCTTTAAATACAAGCGGCAGTACTATATACTATAAGCACTATAAGGCGCACCTTCAATTTTAGAACATTTTTCAAACGTTTGACTGGGTTTGCATTATGCATCCACTAGATGTGCTAAAGGGAATGCAGCGAGTGCGCGGCGTCGGAGGTGAGGCGTTTATTTAGTAAGCGTGAGCGCGCTGGGGCGGGCACGTAACTTACATTCGCAGCCTGCTGACAGCAGTGTCTGTTCGTGTGTGTGTTAGAGAGAGCGCTCGTGAGCGGGAGATATTTTATACGAGGTTGAACTGGCCGTGTGACAAAGCGGGCATAACATGGACACGAGCGCGAGCAATTGATCCATATATAATGCGCTCCGGATTATAAAGCTTGAGAAAAGGCCGGATTGAGAAAATTAAAGGCTTTTAAGTGCGCTTTATAGTGCGGAAAATACGAGTACTACTCTCGCTTTTAGACCAGCACGCGACGTGTTTAATATAGACGCATATTAGCCTACAACAGATTTTTCTCTCAAATGTTTGCTTTCACTTTCTATATGGGGAGGCTGCACTTTAGACATAGCCAATTCTGTTTATGTAAACATTGTGTGTATTTAACAGTATTAGCATAATAAGACTTGAAAGATAACTTAGTCCAGTATTCAGGCGCTGTTTGACAGGCTTCTAATGCCTGATATGCCGCGCGCTCAGGAAAGCGCACGTTAGAACAGCGCGTGAATTAAATGTTTAACCGGCAAGGCTTATGCAAACAATGAACTTTTGTGAATTGCAGTGTCCCGTACCTATTCCTTAACGTGTGATGTGTAGGCTACGTCGCGTTGTACAGTTGAGAGGCGCCAGAACTGATAGAATGCACTGTAACACGATACTACTACTACCATATTTCTTCAAAAGCAGATCGTGGAGACATTTACTATTCGTGTTGTTGCACACCCCTAGAATAAACCATTTAACGACTAGTCGACTAGTCGTCGACTGTTATGCAAAACTAGTCGACTAGCAAAAATCAGTAGTTGTGAAACCCCTAGTGTGGACTTGGTTTAAGAGAGCATCCTGAAATGGAACCTTAAAAATGAGTGATTTGAAACCCTCTATATCATAGAAATAGAGTGGATGACATTAAAAATTGATTTGAATAGAGATAAAGCAAAAGTAACAACACACTACTCTGCTATGCATAAATATGTGCCTCCAAAACACTGTTTTGAAATGCCCTATAGGCAAAGTTGGGGTTTGGACAATATCAGCATAAATCTTTTTGCCTTGAAAGGTAAAAACAAACTATTAAAACAAATGTAATTGGACAAAAAATGTATAAATAGAAAAAAATATACTTTTATTTATGCATTTGTGCAACATTTTTTTTATTAATTACTACATTTAAAATATTTGTATATTCATACCATGCTGATTTGATCCAAAAACCTCACTTTGCCTGGGGTGTTTCAAAACATTTTTGGGGCAATTTTTCTATGACTCTTTCATGGTTTCAAAACTGTATTAAAATAATAATAATACTTATTATTATTATTGTTGTTAATTACCATATTTATTATTGTGATAATTTAATAATAGAAAAATATGTAATAATTATTTATTTAATTATATTATATTTATAAATTATAAATATTCAAAAAGTATTAAATTATTATTTTACTTTTTTCCTGGAAATTACTATTTAAAAAACACCTCATTTTTCCAGATTTTCCCTAATCATGGCAGATTGCAGAAATGGACCTTGTTTAAGCAGACGGGATGAAAATGATTATAAATTGTGAGCAGATGGACGTGAAGTAAAATTCCCGGGTCTTTTTCCCGGGCCTTCGCAATGAAACTTGCTGGAGTTGGATGGAAAAAATCCATCCTGTTGTTGTGTGTAGAACTCTACACTCCAGTTTAAGTCTGAAGCTGAGAGGCTGTGAACTCTTGAGTGTGTCTGATTATAAAGTGCTGTGTGTGTATTTGTGTGGGTTGATGTGTGTTTAAAGAGTCAAGACTTATTCTCTCGGCAGAAGCCAGAGCTGTGCATGTGCGTGCGTGTGCATGATACGTGTCTCAACCAGACGGAGGAGGGTGTATTTTTAGTTGGGACTACACTCTCTTATAATGAGCAAACCCCCACTGTGATGCCGACACCTCACTGAAACACAGATCACAGTGAGAGAGAGAGAGAGAGAGAGAGGGGGGCTACCAAAAGGGAATGCAAGATGATAGCAAAAAAGTTCAAAATGACAGACCAAATAACACGGATGAGGATACAAGAACAAACAAACCAAAGAAAGAAAAAAAAAAAACTCAATAGGATTACTCACATGAATAATAAAAATCAACATTAGCATGAACCCATTTGAATATTTCTAGCACTTCTGTGATGTTAACCAACAAATTACAGGAACGCCACATTTGTTTCTTATTTCTGCATATGGAAAGCACCATTCTAACACTATAGACAAAGTCAAACGTTGCGAGCAGTGGGAGTAAACTCACTGCTACGACTCATTGACATGTTGATTGATAACCGGCTAAGCTACACAAGGACATTCATTGATTTTGTGATGAGCTTGTATTGAGCACTTGATTGACAAAGAACAGATCTCGTGATTTAGAACTTGTAAAACGTCTATTAGATAATTAAATATTTGCACAAAACAATTTTTCATCATAATGCACTGAACTTAAATAACCATGTAAAGCCTGAAATATGAATCAATGGTCTGAAAAGTTTTTTTTTTAATGCAATGGTACAAAAAATCTACAAAAATGTTTGCATATGTGTTTTTGTTGTGTAATTGATCAGGCTTTTATGGCTCATATACAGTAGTATTAAACTCGAGGAGTAATTTAAAAGCCTAATTTAAAATGCAGCATAAAAAACAGGCAATTTACTGCAGTTGCTATTTATGGACAAGAAGTAAGATGAAATTCCAATAGCTTGTTATGTGAATCAATAAGATATTTAACAGTAAAGCAGACTAATTACATAGAATACATTTCACTCTTTTGTCACCATATCTTACAATAATATGTCAATGTAAGATGCTATATATAATTCTTAGTTGTATGATCATCAAAGTCTGTAGTTTTTAATTGTGGGGGGACAAAACAATGCAATAAAATAACGATTGAGTAAGATGAACAAATAAATGTTCCTCGGAAGCCAGATGTATCATATTTAATCACTTTAAATATGTGATTAAATATATGGACAACCAAGTAAATCTAAGTTTCTAATAAAATACAATTATACTAAAAGGCCCTTAACTTGAAAAAAGAATAATCAATCAGATGGCAAAAGGCATAGATAGTGAACAACAGGTTTTTTCAGCAACATTTTGATCAGGTTGACAGTTTAAAGGCCTTAGAAATTTGTGTATCACATTATTTATAGGGTTAAATGTCCAGCAATGGAGAGATATATTTTCCCCAAATGGTGTAGTTGCATCTACAGTACCAGCAGGGGCAAACTGTCAAACACTAACAAATCTCTTATTTTGACACCTATTTAGAAAGTAAACTATATGCTTGAAACAAGCCATTACCTTTTGTCGGTGGGAGGTGTTTCCTGGTTCGCTGGTACCTCTTCTGATAGATCTGGAAGGTTGGCGAAGTCATCTTGCTCAGCCAATCCGATCGCGAGGGACAGCACAACCATCTTCCCCTCTCTGTCACAAAACAAAGAGGCAGAATCAAACAAGTGGTGAGCAGAAACCATTACAAACTAGAAAAGAAAGCTCAACAAAATAAACTTGAATGTTGCTTGAAAGGTAAAAAATGTCCATCCATCCATCTATATAACATCAAATCATCATATTTGAATGATTTCTGAAGGATCATGTGACACTGAAGATGCTTGACCAAGCATCAAAAATTATGCTGAACATTTAAAATATTCAAACAAAAATATTCAGTTATTTTAAATTGTAATAATAGTTTACAATATTACCGTTTTAACTGTTTTCCCCCTATAAAATGGATTTGTCAATCCTAAAGGATTTCTCTCTACTATTTTGAATGCTTCTTTGAGACAAAAATGAGCATTATGGGGATGGTGATGGTGCAGTGGATAAGACACATGCCTTTGGTGTGAGAGACCCGGGTTTGAATCCACTGTGAGACACCAATGTGTCCCTGAGAAAGACACTTAACCCCTAGTTGCTCCAGAGGCGTGCGACCTCTGACATATATAGCAATTGTAAGTCGCTTTGGATAAAAAGCATCAGTTAAATGAATAAATGTAAATGTACAAAAAGGTCTGGAATCAAATCTCAGATTTTAACACAAACTCAGATTTTCCAGTTATCTGAGATCCTCTGTCCAGATTTACTTTAATGCTGTTGCTATAAAAATGCAGTAACAAGTGAGACAACATTAATGCTTAAATGAAACACAATAAAGATCACCATTATGTCTTGTATCATTGCAGAGAAAGAGGAAAGAAAAATCACCAATGAATCTGCAGTTAGATTAAACGGAGAGCAAAGGAGAACTTCAGTCGAGAGCTCTATAATGTCTCAAACTTTGTCAAAGAGGCAAATGCATGCATCTATGAAAGAATATTTGGAGATACCTCTGAAACAAAGTTGACACCAATATGAAACATAACTGCAAACTCTATTAAATCTCCTGAAGAATGAAAGAGCAACCTCTGAGCAATACATTATTCCCCCTTCTCTCATTAATCAACAGGTTTTATAACGATTTACGCTCATAAAGAAATTGGCAGACTGGCATGTAAAACATGCTTTGCTGGGGGCTATGACAGAATCAGTGTTACACAGGAGTGCATTAAGCCCACACACACGCGTTTATCGATTACAGTGAGTCTAAAACATCACCCTTACAAGGGCTGTAAATGGCCTTCACAAGAGGCATCAGCTCAAATTCACAGCAGGGTCCTAAAAGGAGATTCGTGTCTCCTCTCTGATTTCATCTGCAGATAGCAAGAGTAGTCAGGGCCGTGTGCATCATAGCAAAGGATTGATTGAGCACTGCACACTCTTGGTAAACTTGGATAGAAACAAAGGGCAGAGATGCATGGAAAACCTGCCGTTAATAGTAATATTAGTAATATTAGTAAAAAGTAATATTAATATTTTTCCCAAAACACATTTTAATATACATTTTTATATAGGCTAAATTGGATTTTAAAACTGTTTTTTATACATAGTATTTTTTTATAAATATTTTTTAAATTTATTTTTTAAAAACCCTATTTTTTCTAATTTAATTTTGCAACAATTTTTTAAATAAATGTTTTTTTGTTTGTTGTGAAATAAAACTCGAAAAAACTATTAAATTTTTTTTTTAATAAATTACAAATACATCTATCTTTTTAGTTAAATAAATAATAAGTGTAAGCTTCCCTTTTGTCTATATCCACAGAATACACTCACCTAAAGGATTATTAGGAACACCATACTTATACTGTGTTTGACCCCCTTTCGCCTTCAGAACTGCTCTAATTCTACGTGGCATTGATTCAACAAGGTGCTGAAAGCATTCTTTAGAAATGTTGGCCCACATTGATAGGATAGCATCTTGCAGTTGATGGAGATTTGTGGGATGCACATCCAGGGCACGAAGCTCCCGTTCCACCACATCCCAAAGATGCTCTATTGGGTTGAGATCTGGTGACTGTGGGGGCCATTTTAGTACAGTGAACTCATTGTCATGCTCAAGAAACTAATTTAAAATGATTCGAGCTTTGTGACATGGTGCATTATCCTGCTGGAAGTAACCATCAGAGGATGGGTACATGGTGGCCATAAAGGGATGGACATGATCAGAAGCAATGATCAGGTAGGCTGTAGCATTTAAACAATGCCCAATTGGCACTAAAGGGCCTAAAGTGTGCCAAGAGAACATCCCCCACACCATTACACCACCACCACCAGCCTGCACAGTGGTAACAAGGCATGATGGATCCATGTTCTCATTCTGTTTACGCCAAATTCTGACTCTACCATCTGAATGTCTCAACAGAAATCGAGACTCATCAGACCAGGCAACATTTTTCCAGTCTTCAACGGTCCAATTTTGGTGAGCTCTTACAAATTGTAGCCTCTTTTTCCTATTTGTAGTGGAGATGAGTGGTACCCGGTGGGGTCTTCAGCTGTTGTAGCCCATCCGCCTCAAGGTTGTGCGTGTTGTGGCTTCACAAATGCTTTGCTGCATACCTCGGTTGTAACGAGTGGTTATTTCAGTCAAAGTTGCTCTTCTATCAGCTTGAATCAGTCGACCCATTCTCCTCTGACCTCTAGCATCAACAAGGCATTTTCGCCCACATGACTGCTGTATACTGGATGTTTTTCCCTTTTCACACCATTCTTTGTGAACCCTTGAAATGGTTGTGCGTGAAAATCCCAGTAACTGAGCAGATTGTGAAAGACTCAAACCAGCCCGTCTGGCACCAACAACCAAAATTGCTTAAATCACCTTTCTTTCCCATTCTGACATTCAGTTTGGAGTTCAGGAGATTGTCTTGACCAGGACCACACCCCTAAATGCATTGAAGCAACTGCCATGTGATTGGTTGATTAGATGATTGCATTAATGAGAAATTGAACAGGTGTTCCTAATAATCCTAATAATAGGTGAGTGTATATTCATCTGTTCACCATTGATTTGTTGTTGTGTGCGTTGAAATCAATAAAGCGCAGCACTGCTAAGGTCCACTAGTAAAACCTCAACACTCACGAGGCCAGAGCTTCACGGCTCCGGCGCTATACAGCACAAATCACTCACGTCGCCTGAGCAGGCAGGAGCTTAATTGCCTGTCAGACAATCATGGTATCAGGGAATTAGAGCTGGAGCCGGTTACAGTTACACAATCCTGTAAAGTGAAAGATTATTGCCAGTGTGCAAAATGATATTAACTGTGCTGGAGATTAAAATCGAAACTTGTGACACACAAATATTAAATCTATACGCCACACACATTTACACTACCAGTAAAGAGTTTGGACACGCTCACCCATATTCAGATTTTATTACCATTTTCAACATTTTAGGATAAGAGTCATCAAAATATACTTCTAAATTGTCTCTATAATGAAGTATAGAAATTATGAAGAGAGCAAATATCTATACAGTATGTGTTTCTTGTAAAATGAAATAATAAAAAATTATAATAAATAAATAAATAAAATAATGTTTCTACTAAATAAGCAAATACCTTCACATCAAACTGCTTTTAAGATGATAAGAAACACAAATTCACTCAAGTGTGTCCAAACTTTTTAATTGGCAGAATGAACCAACAGGGAGATTAAAATATCTTTTTGTTTGAGTTGTTGTCTGGCAGGTAGAGCACAAGTTGTGCTCTTCACTGTTCCCGCAAAAAAATTATGTCAGAAACTCTAAAATAAAACAAAAATGGCAAGTTTTATATGACCAAATGGAAATCATATTCGCTTCCTCAGACTGGGTGTGAACACACACACACACACTCTCTCTCTCTCTCTCTCTCTCTCTCTCTCTCTCTCTCTCCACTTTTCTCTGACAGTTAATCATGCTAGTAATGATGGTGAGGACAGGAGATCAATGCTGTGTAGAGTTGATCTGCCAGTGGAGAACACATACTGACTTCTAAACCATTTACCACACACACACACACACACACACACAATCACCTATAGGGATTGTAAACTGCTAAATGACCTTGGTACAGATACACACTCAAACAGACTTGAGTGTAAGATCGTAGACACACAAACACACACACACACACAGAATTGAATTTGTACATTTGTTAAGATAATAGAAAAGCAGTTCATTCATTCTTCTATTTTCTGTATTCACATATTTGAATGGGTTTCATGAAAGATATTGGATATTTGATTTAGTTGTTAAGACCTAATTTTCTTGGCCTTAACAATACGGTGTTGACTACACCACTATTCCACAGCAGTAAAGAAATTACAAGTTCATTTATTGGTAAAAAGGTTTCATTTGTCAATATAAACTAACAATGAGCAATACATTTGATACTGTATTCGTTAATCTTTATTAGCGATAGATAAAAAAAGATAAAGCGGTTCATTGTTTGTTCATGTTACTTCACAGTGCATGAACTAATGTTAACAAATACAACTTTTGATTTTAATGTATTAGTAAATGTTGAAATTAACAAAGATTAATAAATGCTGTAGAAGTGCAGTTCAATTGCGTGAGCTTATTTTGTCTATTAAATTGAAATATATGAAAAAGCCCATATTTACACACCCATAGAGCCTCCCCTAAAACAAATCAGGACAGAAGTGGATAAAAAGAGACGAAAACACCAGGTGTAACCGGGAATGTGTCTCCCTTGTCTACTTGTGATCTGATCGACCAAAAAGCATCTTAATACCAGGTGTAAACAGGAACACAGACATGGATAAACACTCATCTATTACACTGTAAAAAATTTCTTGTCAAATTAACAGTAACTTACTGGCAACAATTATCCAGTACTTGCTGTATTTCATTTAACAGTAAAATTACCGTAACACTAACTACAGTACTGTTAAGCATACTGCAAATTAAATAACATTATTTTACTGTAATTTCTTACCATATTAAAGTACAGAATTACACTGTTAATTTTTAATAATACTGTATAGTATGAAATGTTATTGTATTTATTTTATAGTGCTACTGTGTAACCTGTAGAAAATCCGTA